TTGTTAATTGAATGAACTATGTTAAAAATAAATAAATTTTTGATAATCAAAATTGAATTTTTGAATTAAATTCAATTATTAAAATAAAAATTATTACTCAAAATAATAAAAGACTGAAAAAAGTTTTACTTATTGCTCATTTTTAAAATTTTAATATTTTTTAATTAAAATTGATAAATATTTAATTTTTTAATTATTTACTAAAAAATTTTATAAACTGATATTATAAACTTCTTAAAATATTTTAATACACTTATGCAAAATTTAATTAAAATAATTTTATTTATACAAAAATTAAAATTTCATTTTCTCTTAATTTAAATAAAAAGTCTTACGAATCTACTTAAAAAAGTATCCCAAGATCTATAAAGGTGGTGTGGGTGACGTGACGGAATAAGGGAGAAGGTGTTGAAATGCAGTGCCAGAGCGATCGCTCCAAGCACGCCTCCTTGTGAATTGAAAATTCCATATTATTCACATGAAATTCTTTCCCACACGGTAGCCGCCTTTCTTTTCATAAGACTTTTGCCGGTCACAGTTCCAAAATAATTATTTTTTTATTTTAAATTTATTTTAAATTAATTATTATTTTTTATTTTTAAAATAAACAAAAATTTTTATTTTTATTTTATTATATATTTATTTTAATTAATTAGACCACCACAAAAAATTTTATTTATTTTTATTTTTTAAAATAATATAAATAAATATATAAATAGTTAGCAAAACTTTAATTCTAAAAAAATGATAATTATTATGAAGTGAAGAAAATAATTACATAAAAGTGAGCGGATGATTTTTAATTAGGGGGTGTTTGGTTAAAAGTAAATTCTTTTTAAAGTTTTTTAGATTTTTTATAAAAATTTTATATATGTTTATATATTAATAATACAATAAGAAGAGTAAGGGAGACATTTTAAATATATTTTTTCTAATACAATTCTCAACTCCTGAATTTTTTTTGTTCACCTATTTTCAAAAAAAAATTCCTATAATTTTTTCTATAATAAATATGCTTTAACATCATTTTCTACTAATTTTTTCTATATTAATTTCTTAGTAAATATAACAAAATTAATAATCTAGTAAAATTCAAATAAAATTTAATAACTTTTAATTTATTATTTCTTCAATTATTTTTTAATAAAAATTTTCTTAATAAATGTGTCGTTTAATCAAACAAGCTCTTAATGTATACCCTAGGGAAATCACTTGGCGATGCTCTATAAATACCAAAGCACAAAAACTCTTTTATGCCACGAAATCTGTGCAACTGCTGCCTAAACAAAATAGCTCTTGGGTCTTCCATTTCAGAGATCTAAAAAAGGAATAACAATGTGAGTTCAAGACTTTGTAACCCCTACCCCTACCTCTCCACAAAGTGCAACCGCCAAAAAGGGTCGTCCTACGGCTAACTTTCATCCTTGCCTGTGGAGGGATCGTTTCCTTGAACATTCCTCCGACTTCATGGTAGTAAACTCCCTATTATGCATATATATATATACAAACATCTTAACGCAGCTTATTACTTTCGTGCCTCATTATGTAACATTTTGTGCTGGCTTATTTTTGAAACTATTGGTGCAGAAAAGTACTGGCTTGACAACTAAACAAGAATTTGAAGATCTGGAACAAGAGGTGAGCAAGATGCTTAAAGATGGGAACAGTGATCAATCCAAGAAATTGCATTTAATCAACACAGTCCAATTCTTGGGTGTCGATTACCATTTTGAGGAAGAAATAGAGGATGCATTACAGAAGATATACGATGATGGTGATGTAGACTATGATCTCTCCACCGTCGCTCTTTGGTTTCGACTCCTCAGGCAACAAGGAATCAAGGCACCATCTGGTAAATCTTTTTTCCTAATCAACTTCTAACAGTCTCATACTCTCATCATCTCTGTTAATGATATTATTACTTAGATAAATTCTTCCTTTTATGGCAGAGGTATTTAAAAAGTTTGTGGATAAGAAAGGAAAGTTCAAGGCAGACTTGGTTAATAATGTCACCGGTATGTTGAATTTGTACGAGGCTGCGCATTTTTGCATACAAGGAGAAGATATACTTGATGAAGCCCTTTCATTCACTACCTCTAGTCTTGAATCGATTGCAGCTCAAAAACAGATAAGCACTCAGCTTATAGAACAAATAACTCATGCCTTGAACCGACCCATCCAGAAAAGCTTTCCCAGAACAGAAGCAAAGCGTT